CTGTTCGGAAGCACCTTTGTGCTCTTCCAGCTCCACACGCTGTTCGCACTGCTGGTGACATTGCTTATCGTCGGGCCCCTTACGTTGCTCTTTACGAGCATCGCCCTTACGAAAGCGGACAAGATGTATCTGTTCAGGTCCTCAGCGAAGTCCGAAGACCGTCTCGACGTGGTCCCTCTGCAGGGCTTTCGGGGTTTCTTCCGCTTTCCGTTTCTCTTTGGAATTCCAACCGTCGTCGCTGTGGGCCTGGCGTATTTGGTTACCAAGGTCAACCCGTACATCATTCATAGTAGTGCTTATGCGGTGTGGAGTATGATGGTGGCTGCATGGGTCTTCTTGGCCTGGTTCGTTTCTCGTGTGGCCGACTTTGCTCGTCCGTCCGCCTTCCATCGTATTTACACCCTCACATGGATGTATGTACTCTCCTGGGTTTCTGCGGTGATTGCTACTGTGTATGCCAACCAAAGGGGTCTGGCCGGTGGGTATTTCATCTTCTTTTTCCATGCCGGTATTTTCTTAGCCACATGGATCTCCTACTTGGAGCTCTTTGCCCTACCGTCCAAAACGGAGTATGCGAGCCAGCTCAGGCCAGCTTCAGGACGGATCAGTGGCCATGGTAGCCGCCGGGGTACGACTTCCGGCGAGGACGACGGCGAGGAGGCGGAAGAAGAGCCAACAGAGTCAACGTCCCTGCTGGGCAGTGGGCAGCGGACCACGTTCGCAAATTACGTGCGAGTGGGTGGAGATAATCATGCGGTGGCAGAAGAGGAGGTGGTCGATCCCAACGTCTATGGTCACGAACAAGCATGGAGTTCTGCATTGCCCAAATGGACGTGGGTCTTGCAGCTTCTTCTCACTGCCCCGATTACCCTTATCATGGTCGGGCCCCTTGCGCTCCTGACGATCAGTGCCATCAGTCAGACAGGTCAGGACGGAGGTTATCCGCTTTTCGCCTACGTCGCCATCGCCATATTCACCACGATTATTCTCACGCCGCTTCTACCTTTCATCCACCGGTACACCTACCACATCCCCTTGTTCCTGCTGGCGGTCTTCCTCGGTACCCTGGTCTACAACCTCGTGGCTTTCCCCTTCTCAGATTCCAGCCGGTTGAAACTTTACTTTGTACAAGAGGTAGACCTCGATACTGGCGTCAACCGCGCCACCTTCGCCGGACTTTCTCCATTTGTCAAAGATGTCTCCCAGGAGCTGCCCAGCGCCGCCGGCCATAACATTGCCTGTGACTGGCACACTAAGAGAAGGAATCTGCTATCCTGCTCCTGGGAAGGGATTGCTCCGCAGCCAGTGGAGGGCGACCACCCGATGAAAGACTGGGTGTCTTTCAATATCTCCAAGTCCACCGATAAGCCGCAAGCTCGGTTCGAGGTGTCTGGACTAAACACGCGTGCATGCAGGATCGTCTTCGACACACCAGTGAAGAACTTCCACGTTGCCGGGTCTGCCTATGACCCGCGCTTCCCGTATGACGCGGCCGGCGTCAATGAGATCCGACTCTGGAGTCGCAACTGGGAGAACCAATGGACGGTGGATGTGGACTGGGACGAGGGAGCTCTGAAAGGCAATGTCGTCTGTCTGTGGAGCGACCATAACCAGCCGGGGGTGATTCCGGCGTTGGATGAGGCTATCCAGTTTGTGCCGGTGTGGGCAGCCGTGACCAAAGTGAGTGACGGGCTTGTGGAGGGTCGTCGTGCATTTGAGATCGGCAACGATGGTTGATTGGCATTCTGAGGCATCCCTGGCATACTGTTGTATGTCGCTTAGCGTTACTTTGGTTTTGTTACAATATAGGTAGTATAGTATAAGCATATGCGGGGGCTTCGTTGTTTCTAGGTAACAAAAAATGGATCAATCCGTACAAGAACCAACACTTGTACGGTGTACGAATAACCACTACCAAATTACCTCACCCGACTATCCCAAGCAACTCTTAATCCAAATAACCCGAAATCTCATATAATCCATCCACCCCACCAAAATAGCAAATCGAAAAATAACTCCATCATAGAAAGTCCAATCTAAAAAATCAAATAAAATACAAAAGAGATCAAAAGAAAGGCTAAAAAGGAAAAAAGAAACCAAGACGAAAGTTACCCCTTACATCAACCCAGCACGTGCCCCTCCCCAAGCTCCCAGCTCCATCGATCAACAACCAAAGGGCCGGTCCGAAAAAGTAGTAAGATCTATTTATATATTTCGCGACCCTCATCGTATGGCCATCAATCGTGATCAGGGGGTAAGTATAAGTACATACCATATTACTCGCTTATTGTATAGATTATCGTGCTCCGTATTATGGTGGCTTTACGAGCTGAGCTGAGGTGAGCTGAGCTGAGGTATTTTGCTTGGATATGTTGGATGCAGGTGGTTTCTGTGGGTTGGTGTTAGGGTCTTTGGATCTGTCCGTTTGGGTGGGGGGGTTTCATTGTGTAGTGTGTGATTGTTTTATGAGTACTCCGTAGCTAGGGAGATAAATTAAATCCGTGTTGAGGTGGATAGGTACATAGGATCATTTATTTAACTTCGAGGAGTAAATATGATAGATAGATAGATAGATACTCCGTAGATCTTACTAGTAGATAGATAGGTACTGTAGATACTAAATAGTAGGTACTAGGTAGATGGCTAGATATTAAAGATTAAGATACGTACGTCTACAGCGAAGTGTGGTATTCCTACATATGAATCTCTTTGATCGGGTCTTTTTATTTGTAGGGATCGGGTTATGAGATATCCAATGTCTTGTTTGTTGGTGTTGGGAACTTAAGTCTATAGGTAAGCAGGTAGGTACACAGTATGCATAGATGTTATGTAGGTGAGAATGTATGGATTGTTGCTTATTTGCAGATATTATGTTTCTTGTTTATTGGGGTGGGCTTATGTTTTGTAATGGATGTCTACGGTTTGTTCTATACGGAGTAGTTTGAGTGAGTTCCTGGTGGAGTTGCGTCGGAATGCTGAGGATTCAATCAAGGGTTTTCTGTGTACTAATTCCGGGTAGGTTACGCGATTGGGGTTAGTCCTATTCCATTCTCTTTGGATTTCTTGGGATTGTAATTATCGACTCGGTCTACGAACAAAAGGAGAAGTACGCGGGACGGCAACTGAAGGCTAAGAACTAGAAAAATAACAGAAAAAAAAAAATAAAAAAGAAATAAAAAAGCAAAGAAACAACTTCCGAGACACTCCTAGAGCATCCTATGTGAATATACGGAGGACATCGCCAACCGCCGCCGCGCGGGTGGCTGAGTGGTTAGGGAAGCCCTTACCCATTCAATTTCCATGGGCCGCGTTGGCAACGCAACGACTAACGCGTTCGATGATACTGGGTAGAGATCCAAATCCGGTAACCGGTCAAAATTCAGTCTCCAGGGACGAAAATAGCCGGTTGGAAAAGGACACACGCACACAAAAGTTACTTTTAAGGCCGGGTTGATGAATTGTCCACCGTGGATGACCCTGTCAAGTGCTAACGAGGGTTGAGGGTCGAGACTACGATTGGATCCCGGTTGAGAAATACGAGGTAAAAACGAAAAGCCCTGGGGAAAAAGTCCCCGGATATCATAAAAAACCAAACCAAACCAAACGAACCAACTTCAAAACTATCCCCCAATTCTTTTAACAATAACCGCACCCTGCCCCTTAACCGCGGACCGCGCTGGGTTTAGTGAGCGTAACGGCGGGAGGACAAAGGAAAGCGGTGTTCAATAGTTTGGGCCTCCGGGTCGACCCAAGTTTATAGTTAGTCTTAGTGAGGGAGTCTTAAGTTAAGGCGAACAATGAATAAAACGGTTAATTGGAGTGTGCGTCTCCGTCGGAGCCGTTTTAGCCGTCTTGGTCAGAGAGCTGGTACCTAAGTGGAGGTTCCACGGGTCAGATGAAGTCATTGCTTTTTCTTTTTTCGCACGGGGATTTTCGTGCGTGTGGGATGGGGTTTGTGCTCAGCTTCCAGTGAGATCAGAGATAACATCCGGAGTATGTACTTGCTGGACTTTACTTCAGTTCTGGCCCCACGAATGGGTCGTTGGGTCGAGCTGTGTGTCATAGGTTGCCTTGTTGAAGGAGGAGAACCGGTCTGTTGGGTGTTGTAGTGCGGCATTAAGGGAGAAACCGATCCTGGTAACCAAGTAAAACTAATTAAAATTATGAGAAAATAAACCGGGATTGAATGGTGGTAATGAGGCTTTTCGGCCTTCTTCTTGTTCTCGTTTTTCGTGGAGAGATCCACGTCCAGCTTAGGGTTTAAGGCCAAATTGACTCATTTGGGAAGATCCCGTGATACGTGATAGCGAAAAAGGGAAAAATAGGAGTGGACGCCGGACGGGAACCAAAGTACTAGGAATCCCTAAACGAAACGATGCAGTTTTTTGATTGCCCGTGTGCAAGTGGAGCCACGGACACCTGACAGGCGCGAGGGTAGCTCTGGCTCTGGAGTCTGTACCTCTCTCAGTCGACATGCAAATTTTAAATTGATTGGGGGAAACGGAAGCTGTCCGAATCCCACCGCTACTACGACAAGATATCTGGCAAACAAATCACGAGAAGGACACGGGCTGGATCTGATATGCGACCATCTGGGAAAGAGATTTCGCTTTGACAGTCGATGCCTTGTTGTCATCATGAGGATATAAGCAAAATGAGATCAATTCGTTTGTGATATCATTGGGACTACAGCTCCCAGTGGAGGGACCCGGTGGGATCGGTGGATGATCGTCTCACGTCCCCAGCCTGTCTCTTTCGGTCCCTTTCTTTTTCCATCGATCGGACAATTAATTTCTCTGTCAATTTGGATCAGTCACCGGGTAACAAAGGACCACATATCCTTTTTCTTGGGACCCATTTCCGGTGCTTTACTGATCCAGATGGAGTCCTTTTGATTGTTCACTCCTGCATGGATCTTGAATTTGAGTAGGGCCTGTGCATTGATCCATCATCCGCGGAGAATCGATCTGAGGCTTAGAAATTGGATTTTTATTTTTATTATTGATTATTTTTTTCTCTCTTTTTTCCCCCCTTGGATGTCCCTACCGATGATTATTATAGTTCTTCATCTCCACTCCCCAGAAAATCCGCCCCAGAAAATAGGTCACAGCCTCTCACCTGACAAGACCAGTTAATCTTGTCTCATCTGTTCACCTCTCCCCTTTCCTCTTCTTCTCTCCTTGCTGACTTCCCACTTTTTACCCCATTTATCTTCTGTCGAACATATACTCCACCTCTTGCGAAGGCTTATTGGGCCTGTTTTCTATGGTGGATGTGGTTTCCGTTCTGGTTGTCCCCCACAAACGCCAAATCATGCCTCGTATCTATCCGCACGCTTAAAGGGACGGGCCTCTAACTCGACATGATCTCTGGGCATGGTGTTTCGCCCGGGAATGGTATCACCGGGGGTTATACGGGCAACGACATTGGTTTCAAGATTGCCATTGCGACCCTTGCCGCCGTGACCTGGTACAATGCTATCGAACTCATTATCCTCGTCTTCGTCACCTTCAGTCAGTACCACGGCCTTTACTTCTGGAGTTTGTTCATCGCATCCTCAGTCGGTCTCGTTCCCTACCAGGTTGGCTTCCTGCTGAAGTTCTTCAACTTGACCGACCAAACATGGCTCTCCGTCACTTTCATCACCATCGGCTGGTGGGCGATGGTCACTGGCCAGTCCCTGGTTCTCTATTCGCGACTCCATCTGGTTCTGGGCAATGCACGCATCCTCCGCCGCGTGCTTGCTATGATCATCGTGGATGCCATTATCTTGCACATTCCCACCACTGTTTTAACCTATGGATCTAACCTGGCCGGTGGCCGGGCCGCCTACATCAACGGATACAACATCATGGAGAAGATCCAGATGACCGGGTTTTGTATCCAAGAATTTATTATCTCCGGTCTGTACATCTGGGAAACAATACGTATGCTCCGCCTGGATCCCGACAGAGGCAAACGCAAAATCATGTACCAGTTGGTCGCCATCAATCTGGTCAGTATCCTGATGGATATCGGCCTGCTGGTGGTGGAGTATAAGGACATGTACATCATGGAGACGATGATCAAAGGCGTGGTTTATAGCATCAAGTTGAAATTGGAATTCGCCGTGCTGGGCAAGCTGGTGCATCTCGTCCACAGCCATGTCTGGAAGACCGAGTCGGTCACCCGCCCTACGTCGGATTTCCCCGATTTCGTCGACGCAAGCCGGGTTACATCCGATCTCACCCATGCAATGCCAGCCACACGCCACCGCTCTCACCCCTGGATGGACACGGATGACGTTTCGATCGCCATGTTCGAGCATTCCGGGCTTTCCCGAGATCAAGAGACCGGCCACTCAGAGGTGTCCCATTCATGGAGCGGCGAAACCCACACGAATCATCCGTATCCCGATCGAGAACTTAGTCCGGTGGACTTCACCTCCCTACATCAGCAGAAGAGTCTCCCATCGAAAACGTCAACAGATAGCCCGGGGTGACACCCTAAAGAACCTTTTTTTTTTTCTCTTTATCAGCTAACCCTTGAACCCTCCATCTTCGCCCGTCTCCTTCACCCGACTCTCAGCTACTGAGTTGTCTTTCTCCACGAATGACGAGTTATGAGATCACGACGTGCAAAAGTCCTTTGATACACCGAGCATATACACAGGCAGGACGGAAGTCTACAGTGACTTCGGATGGACAGAACTACATACAGATACCCATGGGAGGAACTCTTGTACAAAGTATACAAAGTATACCCCATCGCGCCCGGCTCTCGTCATTTGGATGAGATTTCTGTAGTGCAGGTATGCACACGGCAGGTGGGCCATATGGTGGACACAACGACTGCCCAACAAATAGCCTTACCAGATGAGGCTGGATTATAATATTCAGGTTCAAGTACATAATTCAACATTAAATTTACAATAAACAATACCGTATTACAGAACACACCGCTATGAATCCAGTGTATAAAATTCGGGCAATTGTCGGAGCTGCCCGCCATAGATTGATAATCGAATTGTATATCAAACTTTGTTCCCCGCAACCCACTTTTCCATATTTCTCACCTCTATGGGTGTTCACCCCACGTTCTGAAAGTCAATTAGATCCCAGCTCGCACGGTAACTATATCCTTGTATCTAACACTACGCACTTGTCTCGTCTCAATCGGGCACACTATGCGGATTTGGATTCTTGGGCACCTTAGTGGCTGCCCTGCCTTCCCACAGCCTGGTTAGTGCTCCAAGCAACAAGCATATCCAAAACTCACATATCTCTGGAAGGGCCTTTCTAAGCCGCACACGGCAATTTTCATTCAGATGCGCACGTATCAGATAGAGCCACGTCACGTTTCCTTCAAGATCAAAGCGGCTGAGCCAGACCGATGTTCCTGCGAGGAGACCTCCCAGACCCTGGGGTATGCCTTCCTGCAGTGTCCGCTGTATATCGATCTACGTGAGACCTTGCTTAACAATATCGCAGGGGTTCAGAGACTACGTGGCAAAGCCGCAGACTACACTGCTATTATATCGCACCCGCAGGCAATTCGCTACGTTGCCGAGCTTATACACAAAACAGGCCTTTTGGTTCTCTCTCACGACGTGGAGCTGACACGGGGCTATAAACGGGACCACCATAGGAGCAGACGGCGAAGACGCTGGTTAAACGGTTACGTGATGACCTAGAGAGGGTCAACCTAGGCTGAGGCCACAACTACTTGGAACTACATAATGAGCAGAGGATGTGAGATATGTGCAAAGATGGTGCAGGTATGCTACTTTTCATACGTGTGGCAGGCGCTTTGGCTGTGTACAGCTACTGAATTTGGTCCAACGGCATTTTACCACGTATTTCTGTATACTATGGGCTCCTAGGGGTTCTATTCGGTGTATTCGGCACGGATAATACCTCACTGGCGAGGCTCTAATAGGTTAATAGAATCTTGATTTGATCCAAGCTAACAGGTCGCAGTCTTCCTTTCTTAGACACCGTCTTGCACTCGTCGGCATGTCCGGAACCTCTGTCCGCATTCGCCTTGAGCGACCCTTTATACGTCAACTACTTGTACTCGGACTGTAATGTGGCTGCGCAGGTCGTCAACAGTCCGTTGTCGGACAATGACTTCACCCACATCCATTCACGACTGATCGTCGCCTATCCCGACGGTAACAGCGGTGTATGCGCCTACTTTCCTCTGCAGAATGGTGTCAACGGTAGTCTCTGGATTCAGGTGATGAACACGACCGTCGGCGATTCCTTCGTCTCAGTGTATACAAGTCCGTGCTCGTCCAAATATCGCGGTGCCGGTGTGAAAGATATCTTGCACATGAGCTCTTTCGCCAACCTTAACTATCCTGATTCTGATATCGGCAATGCTCTCTCGACAAGTCCGGTTGCAGTCCTGGCTTGGTAAGGGGGTATATACAAACTTTATTGTTACGACACTGACAACTCCTCGCAACCAATAAGGCCGGAGAGAAGTTTCTCGATTGGTCTGATGGCCCTCTGCCACTGGATACTATCCTGGAATCTATTTCTTTGTACTGTTTTACTGGAACGGCTCCTGGGTCGTTCGGTGGGATACCTTCTGGACAAAGTCCACTGATGTCTTCGAACCCCGGGCTCCTCAGCCTCAAAGGCAAGGACATCGTGATAACAGGCGTGGGCAACCCCCGCGGCATGTATCGGCTTCGAAGTCGCACGTGGATGCGCCGAAATGGGTGTCTCGACCATCTATTTGTTGCCTCTGTTTAAAACAGGATCGTGCAGCGACGATCACAATCATCGTAGGTTCCCATAGCCCTATGTGCGCTTGTGTCTCCCCGGAGTGTTCATTTCAACACTCATGCTCAGACGCTTAGCCACTCTTAGGCTTCGAAGTAAAACGGGGGGGTAGCATAGGACACACCATAGATGAGGCCGAGTACGGTGACGCTAATGAAATTAACGATTGCGGTGGGTGTGCCAAATAATTCGTCGCATCGCTGAATCGGGTTCCTATGGTGAGGTTCCTGGTTGAAAATGGGGCGGATGTGCCTGCTTCTTCGTTTGGAGGATTAACTGCTTTACGCTTTGCAGCGTCACGGCGATTTGCTTCGTTGGGTCGAAATCACTTTCTCACGTACTCTCTTGCACTGAGCGAAACAAAGAGCAGCTTTTAGCCATTGACCCCACGCCCACTCGTACACGTCGCCAGAGGGACCAGTCTAGTAAGACAGTGTCTAACCGATCAGTCCTATCCCTGATCCTGGAGGCCTACTGGATATGGGATAACCCCAGGCTATTTAATACCAGTACGAGACATATGGAAAAGAGACAGTAGGACTTGCCATGAAATCAGGCAAAGTAAAAGTCCGACATCGAGTCAGTAGCCTGTGACTCTGGGAAGATTGCTGAGGCGGAGGAGGCGGAGGGTGGAAGTTCACCTGTGCTGCCAGTCGATGGGAGACCGACATTCTGAGATATGCTCTGATGCTATTGTCGAATCACTTCTGTCACATTCCTGGCACGGTCGGTCCTTATCGAACAAGGGTCCTCGCTCTGTTGCGAAGTCATGGTGTGAGATTCCTTGCCAGGCACGTATGAGCCCCAGCACTAATCCTGTATGGGTGGAAAGAAGGAAACAACAAGCATAATGACCATAATACTACAGAATAATAAAGCGTCCAATGGTGGACACAGTGAAAAGAAGCAGAGCTTCAATCAGCGCTCTTGGTCTTCCAGTCCATGTAGCAAGTGCCCTTTGCTTAGATATCGCAGGGGTAATATCTTGGCTATTTACACGGTTACCACATACTTCCCTCCCTACTTGAGAATTATCTTGAAATTAATCTTAATAAGACATTGTCTTGAGAAACTCTTCTTCGGCAGAGCCAAATTCATTGAAACCGCCCTCCGAGACGGTGATGTTGAAGATGACTGAACACAGCTTAGTTTGGATTGCCAGGTTCAATTGAGAACGTCAGTGGCTTGACGATTCATCCTGCTCGACTTGTGCACTGACAAACGAATCCAGATCACCCATATCAAACCCAGGAGAGCAAAGTCTCCCGACTAACTTAAACCGCATTTCATGAAAGACATTCCCTTAGAGATACGCTGGTTGCAAGGTCTATTTCTGATGTTCGATGCTCAACCTCCTGCCCTGAAGGCTTGATAGGCCATTCTAGGATGTTGACGTCTTGTTCCTTTCCAATGAACCATCGGCTGCCCCGTTTTCAAGGTCAAGCGTAGATTCTTTTATTTAATGATATTACATACAAAATCTCTGAAACACTTATAATGTGTATTCTAGGAAACTCAGGCAAGCCAATTACCAAACTTTATATAATAAAATGTCCACATGCGAAACCACCAGCTGTTCCATCAAGAGGACACAGCCGGCATCCCCAACTCCTCCATGCTGTAATTCGGCTAAATCGCGAGTTATTCTTTCTATGATAATAACAGCTAGTTACCTAGAGTTGGTAAAGGTTCCTTCATGATCAGATACCCATGTCAGTCACCACATCGTTAGGCTTTCCATCCATTCTTAGACAGTCCGATAGGGTACTAAGTACATATTAATCTACGCCAGGTCTTCCTTGATAATACTGGTAGGATTTAGAGACATCTACAGTAGAGCTGTAGTTTGTTATTATCTTATGTCTGTAGACATTGCACTACATTGCCAAGTTTATATATATATCCTGATAGATAGATAAATATAATAGAATTCCTGTATTAGTCCTGTGAAGCCAAGCTGATTACATAGAGCCTTGAATAGATTATCACAGGAGTAAACATCGGTGAGTGGACTGGTTAAACCGTCATGCGATAAACTTGAGGGAGGGGAGGGGAAAGTCAACGTAGGCTGAGGTCTCAACTATATGGAAATATATAGTTAGTAGAAGTGAGGTATACGTAAGAACAACATATCTTACTTATATTCATGTAGCAGGTGCTTTGGTTGTATCCATGCTGTTCTCTTATACATATCTGTATAATATGGGGTTTGCAAGTTTTGTTAGGTGTGGTTAGTATAGACTCTGTTCTACCGGTCACAGGAACTTGACAATGTGCTTGCATTTACTGAGCAAGTTTGGAACAATCGTAGACGACTTCGTAGCGTAGACATATCCTATGATGATCAAACCCACGCTGGATAAATGGAGATATACAGTGGTAGATGTACATTTTCCGGTATAAGTTGACATGGCCCATGTACGTGCATCCTAAGTGGATAATACCCTAGATTATATACCAGAGCTCCATAAAACAACACCACCCACTACCAATCACCAAAGGTAAAACGACGCCAACCCGACATCATACCTTAGTGAATCCATCAAGCAGCATGCATGCATTAGCATACATCATCCTTCTGCAAGTTGCCCAAAAGGGTGACTGTCAAGCTTACACCATCGGTTCTAGACACGGAAGAGTTTTTTGTTGGCTGGACAAGAGCACAGGAATCAGTACCTTTCTTCTCGCAGCTTCTGCTATGGAACTATGATTCCGACCCCCGCGAATGATGGCATGATGAGATTTTCCTTGGGGAATGGGATTTGCATCCGTTCCGGTTGGCCATGGATGATTTCGTTTTGAGTTCTAGGGTTTGACTAAGGTTGGGGGAGGGTGTGATCTAGCTTGTTG